TGATGTTTTACACGCTTAACGGCTGACTCCCATAAACCTCCAAAGTTTGGAGTCCTCGGCGGAATAAAGCTCCAATTGATTTTCTGTTTCGCCAACTGCAGGTGTATAGTTTTTTCTTCCTTCTTAAGAAATTCGTACATTTCGCTCAGCTCTCGCTCCGCGCCAACAAAATTAGTACCATTATCTGAAAAGAGCTGTGAACACACGCCCCTGCGACCTGTGAAACGATGTAAAGCGGCCAAGAAACCTTCGGTCGTTAAACTAGTTACCAACTCCAAATGGATCGCCCTTGTATTGAAACAAATAAATAGGGCGATGTATGCCTTCGAAATGTGAACACGTCCTCGGCGTCGACTCTCTCTTATCTGTATTGGGCCCGCATAGTCCACTCCGCAAATTGTGAACGGACGCAGGAATCCAGTAACTCGTGCCTCTGGAAGGTCTCCCATCTTGACTCGTGCGCCCTTCGCGCGCAATCGAAAGCAAACTAGACAGGAACGAACGACCTTGCGTGCCTCTCTTCTCCCGGAAAAAGGCCAGTATTTTTGCCTGATGGACGCCAACAACTGCTCCGTTCCGCAGTGAAGTAGCTTAACATGTTCATCTCGGAATATCAAGTTTGTCACCCTGAGTTTTGCAGGCAACATTATGGGGTGCTTTGCTGCTTCTTGAAGTTTGGCCTGACTCAAGCGACCACCCACTCGTATCAATCCCTTGGAATCCAAATAAACGTCAAATGCTCTAAGTTTGCTGCTCGCATTGAGAGATTTGCCAGCTTGCAAATATAGAATCTCTTGAGGAAAGGCCTCTTGTTGAACCATCCTTATAACTGTAATTTCTGCTCGTTCCAGCTCCGTTACCGTAAGAGTCTTAGTATGCGTTAATTTGCGACATCCGTCAATAAATTTATGACAATAAGCCATAGTTCTTACAATTAGTTTAAACGAGGATACGTCTGGCAAATTGTAGGTTGAGTAACCGTTACTCCTAGAGCGTTTACAATTTTCTTCTCTGGTAAGTCTACTATTCTTCTTGGTTGTTCAGGCCAATCTTCCCTCCGCGGAAGCCAATTTGGCCCATACCACCACAAATGATTGTTCTTCAATTCGCTAGTTGTAGTTCCTCTTGACAAGACATCTGCGGGATTCCTATCAGAGGGCACATGATGCCACGCGACTTGAGAAGTAAGTCTCTGAATCTTCGAGACTCGATTAGCCACAAACGTTTTTAGAGTGCTTGGACACGTATGTATCCAACTTATTACAATTGTAGAATCAGTCCACAAATGAGACTCGTTTATTCTGTTTCCGAGTGCTTCATAAACCGTCCTATGAAGCTTTGCCAACAAGAGAGCTGCACAAAGTTCCAACTTGGCTAATGTTAGTGTCTTTAACGGCGCAACTCTTGATCTTGCACAAATCAGGTATGAACGAC